GTCTTATGTACACTTCCACAACTCTTACCCTGCGTATGCAAATCTTTTTGACGTCATTCTACCTTCATAATAATGGCAGTTGAGGCTGCTCTCGTCGGGAAATATGAGCACTGAGCGCCGGCTACTGGGCTGATCGCGTGGAGCTCCCGTCTCCGAAATCGGCTAAGCACATTTTAAAATAGGCGCTGTTTTTATAAATAAACCGCAGATTTGCAAAAAATTTTTTTAAATAAAATGCAAATGGTGGTTGAAATACAATGCTGCGTGAACTCAACCAATCAGCATGTTCAGCGCTCAAGTCCCGCCCTTGAAAGTTCCAGAACTTTGAAAAAGTACTACCTCGCGAGCAGGGACTTTCTGAGGGGCAATTTTTTACCCGGAACTTTATTTAGATCCTGGTTCCTGCGGTGGAAACACACCGAGTACCGGCCCAAAGTCCCTAGTTCCTGGGGAAAGTTCCTGCAGTGGAAACGCGGCTTTAGGTTTCAATTTTTAAAGCACCCCCATCTTCTTCATGACCGGAACAAGAAAAGCTTCGATGATGCAGGTAAGCTGGAGATGGAAAAAAACATAATGGGAAAGAGTGTAAACAAACATTAAATTAATACTTGTTGCTTCTACATAATTCATCGAGTAACTGAAACATACATAGTCACTTACTAGGTGGTTCACAGTGGCCCTGTGCTGCCAGATGTTGGAGCTGATTTGACTTTTTAAACTCTGTAAAAATAACAATATTTATTAAAAAATGTATCTTGTAGAATTCTAGAACCATGGCATCATCAGACAGCCAGGAGGCCATCTGTAGTGTAATTTATTCTGCCCCAAGCAACATACTGGCATCAAAGACCTACCGATCATCAGCTTGTGTGATCATCAATGTGACCGGATGAGACATTATGCAAGATTCAAAAACTGTTTCAGGCTATACTGGATAGGAGCTAGTAGTGACATCAAAATGCCAAGAGCATAGCATCAGACATCAGTTGATGGATGAAGAAATCAGTGAGGACATCTTTTTGAAGTATTCATTTGCTTTGTAAAGTCTCCACTTACATTGAATTTAAAGCATACAAATGCTATGTTTAATATTAAAAAACACATGACACGCTTGAGGGTTTTGACTTTTGAGGCGTTTTTTATCCAAACTAATAAATTATCACCATTATAAAGAGGAAAACAATACACATCTTTTATTTATAATTTTCATGAAGTGCACACAGTTTGTTTTGTAGATATATGTTTACCTTCCTTTGCTATTGAGACATTACATTGCCCCTCTTCCTCATCTTTATTTTGCTCTTCTTCATCTAATGAGGACTCTGGAAACAAATTTTAAGCAATTTTTTATTTATTATTATTTTTTTATTTTATTTTTTGCATAGCCCTTTTCAAACAATTCAATACATATTGTTTTAAAGCAACTTTACAAATAAGTTAATGCCTTATAAGGCATATACATGGTTGCATTTAGCAGATTAGAGCTTGCTTATATATATACTGTATATATATATATATATATATATATATATATACACACAGTATTACAGTATATATATATATATACATAAATGTGTAAATGTGTTGTGCATCCCGTTCATACCTGTAATCTCATAGATTGGTGACATTCCTAAAACATGAGAGACAATTATAAAATATTACACACACAGGCCATGACTCTATAAGGGAATATACTGTATAGGAGACTAAATACAGATACAATTTATACAGTCTCATCCAGTATACACTGGATGTGAATATCTACACACACATACTGTACATACATTGTTGTGTGCGTGTGTGAAATAGTTCAACCAAAATTGAAAGTTTCTTAAAGGGAACAAAAATAGAATTAGCAGAATGTCTGCTATTTCATGCAATTAAAGCGAATGGTGACCACAGCCCATGGCACACAACGTTATCATATGGCTCCAGAAGAGTCACATAATATGTGCTTTTGTGTCCCTTTAAAGCTTACCATCCCCTGAACCCCATTCACTTTCATTATATGGAAATGAACAGCATGAACATTCTCAAAACATCTTTATTTATATTCCACAGAAAAAAGAAAGTCAACTGGTTGGAACAGCATGAGATGAATAAAGGATGACAGAATTTTCATTATTAAATCAATTCAGGGACACTTCGCCTGTAATTATTGTACTCTGTCACAATGCATAAAAATATCCAAAAACTTACTTCTCTTGAGGTCAGCTACCTTCAGAAGGTGTTCTGGGAAAGTATAGATTGAGAGTTAGTGGTCTGGAGAAGTAAGGAAACTCAGTGCTGGTTAAAGATGCAAGGTTACTTCACAGCTTTGTGATAAAGCACATATCTCTTCTGGGTGCAGAATGATAGAACAGGTTGTTTGTTTACCGTCTGTTCTGTTCTCCACTGAAGAGATCTGAGAGAATACAGCACCATCTGCAGAGATGAAAGAGACTGAAATTGATCAGCCTTTAATAACTTATGAAATAATTGAAAATATAAAAACGATATACAAATAGAACACACAAACCCTGTGTGTTATTAGCAATCTACATGTATAATGCCCTGTCAATATATTTTCCAGTTTCCTTTATGCAGTTCACTTATTCACCAATTTCTTTACTGGACACTGAAAGCACTAAAACTCAAAATAATACTAACAAAAAAAGCATCACACACAAACAAAAAAGTATGCATTAGCATATTTTTGAACATGGTTTTTATGGTAATACCATGGTAGCCTTCATGGTAGTCCTCCAAGTTCCTTGGACATGGCAATAACTTAGTGCCATGGCGCTAGTACTTTTTGTAAGATATTTATTTACACAAATGAAGAATAGTTGCTTTAAAAAAAGACACATTTGCCTAACGATCATAAGACATAAACACTTGCTTACCACTTATGCTGCATATTGCTATGGACACATCAGGGGCATCTCTCATTACTGAAAGTAAAGATGAGAGAATTAATCAGCACAATCATTGAAAATATTTGTGACTCTATAAACGTTTTAGTGTCACTCACAATTTCCATTTTGTTTCCTGAGCTCTTTGAACTGATGTCCACTGGCTGAAACCGGCACAAATGCGGCCAAACTGGACTTTCCTAAAGTGAGAAGACCAAAATTAGATATATCTATAAATAAATCTAATGTGGATGCATTGTGAATTATGGATTCCAAGTTGAAACGTTCATGATGTGCCAAAGGGCTGTTGGGCCTGACTAGATTTGTTTTGTTGAAGTGATACTCACGTTTTCTGCTCTTTAAGATCAGGCTGCCCACACTCACTAGTGTCACCACAACCACAGTCAGTACCAGAGCCAACCACACCGAAGTGATCACACACCACCGGCCATCTAACAACAAGGAAAATGAAGTACAACAGCAACTGAAAACTTAAAAGAGAGAACGAGTACAGCATAACTTGAATAAAATATGTATAGCATATAACAATACAATACTTAAACATCAGACGCTCCAAGTTTACACTATTCCCTTGACTTCTAAGTCTTGCCAAGTTCATCATACAGATGAACTTGTATGAGTCTGGCAGTGTGCTGTCTGAAAGGATTTGTGGTTTTGGATAAGACAAACACTGAGTAGACTGGCTTGATGTATGGCTATAATATATTTATCAAAAGTTAGGTTGAATTATGAAGTCCTGCTGTCTCTTTCCATGCCCGAATCAATAGACAGGATAAAAGACAGTCTCAGCTCTCCTTCAGAAGGAATTTATGAGGGAGGTAGAGAGACTTGGGTGAGAAGGAGTCACGGCAGAAGTATGTTTTGGGAATAATATGTATTTGATACATATTGTAAATATATGTTCCAACTTATTTATACTAATTTATTATTGTTGTTGTTGTTATTAGTATATTTGTACATTTTTATTTATTAATTTACTTTTTACAAAATGTGCTATGAAAAGTTCAAGAAAAATCCAGATGCTGGTATTTATATATTCTGATTTTAAAATATACAACAATAGAAAAACCATATATAAAACATTTATATAATTTATAAAAAAAAAAAATATATATATATATATATATTTATTTTTAAATTTTTTTAAATAAATGTTTTTTTTTCTGACTGTTGTCATACATTTTAATGTCAGAATGAATATATATATCATATATCAATATATCAAACATATAAAATACAATATTGTAATACAGTATAGTGCAGGCCCAAGGATCTACAGTAAATGTCTGTATGTATCTCTGCATGTATATCTTCTTCCTGTTCCTCACGTATTTGCTTTCTGAACTTTTGTCCTGAAACTAAATCATTAAATAAATAATAAAACAAAATGATTTGAAATGCTAAAAGTGCAATGTTGCTTGAGAAGTAGAAAAGATAGACTTAGACTTAAGGTCAAGGTCAGGTTATACAGTATAGTGCAGGCCCAAGGATCTACAGTAAATGTCTGTATGTATCTCTGCATGTATATCTTCTTCCTGTTCCTCACGTATTTGCTTTCTGAACTTTTGTCCTGAAACTAAATCATTAAATAAATAATAAAACAAAATGATTGGAAATGCTAAAAGTGCAATGTTGCTTGAGAAGTAGAAAAGATAGAGATAAAAGACTTAAGGTCAAGGTCAGGTTTATTGTCTTTTGTCTTCTGTGTAGCAGAGCATTGTTGCAGACAGCAGTTTTCTGACAGTTTCTCACCTCTTCTTGTTTGCGTCGCTGGAAATGCAGCTGATCTTGCTGTTTCATTTTGCTCCTGGTAGTAAAAGAGGAAACTGCTGCTGCTGGTTGGTTGGCACTTCAGCTCATTCGTAGAAGCTGTTGCTTGGAAAGATAGTGTAGTTGTTTTGAGCGAAGAGGCGGCTGGGTTTGCAGAAGTAATGGTTTTTAAAATCGAGGTGTCTTGTGTCGGAGTGCTGGTGTTTTCATGCATAGATATGTCCAGATCTGGACATTTGCTGTCGTCTGGTGGGAGGTAGCAGTAGAAGAGTCTCTGGTCATTTTGGGGTCCAGTGTACAGATCAGTGTTGTTGAGAAACACAAACACACTAATGTTCCATCCAGAGAGATTGCCTGCCTTCATTGTCAGTACCACCTTTACATGCTCTCCTATGAAATGTACAACATGCACACAGTTAGTATTATTGGTTATTACTGTAGACAATAATATAATAAATATAATATAATATAATATACATTCCACCTGACTGTGAAGTATTGTTGTAGAGAAGCTGCAGATCCATTTCAGTCTTACACAGATACCAACCGTCACCATGTTTGTTTTGACTGCTGGCATTTATCGTTTCTGTCTCACATGGAGGGTCAGCCGGAGTACACACCTGTGCATCATTTTCAGGAGTGCAAGGGTCAAACAGCTCACAGAGAAACTCAATTTGTGATATTTCTGAGAACCAAAAAAAAAAAGATGCTCTTACTTCAGATTTTAATAATTTAAAACACATTCTGTTTAAAATACAATACATTCTGTGTCTACAGTAAAGAAAAGGAAAAGTTCTTAAACCCATGTTCCCAACATTTAAGTTCTTAAAGGGGACATCGGATGCAAAATTCACTTTTACAGGACATGGTGTTTGCATATAAATGTGTCTTAGCAGTGTGGACACAAACCACCCTACAATGATAAAAATCCATTCACTCCTATTTCTTAATCCTCAAAAAACCTAAACAGTCTCAATTTTCAAGCGTTTTGATTTTCTGAGCAGTATGACATCATACTGTTCAGGCCCCGCCCAGGACCGCTAATGGACTGTCCTGTATTAGCATATTTCCGCCCTCAGCCACCTGTACGCTGTCCGCCATTTTCTTCGCGTTTAAGAGGCTGTAGCGACAGTACTGTTCAGGCCCCGCCCAGGACCGCTAATGGACTGTCCTGTATTAGCATATTTCCGCCCTCAGCCACCTGTACGCTGTCCGCCATTTTCTTCACGTTTAAGAGGCTGTAGCGACAGCAATGTCTCGTAAGCAATGCAGGTGTTTTGTAGTTGGATGTAAAAGTGAGCATAAGAGTCTTTATTGTCTCCCAACATCTGATCCACTGAGGACATAGTGGATTAGTTTTGTTTTTAATGGTAACACGAGGGGCGGGGTGACCAGAGCTCATTATCATTTAAAGAAACATGCATTATATTAAAACATTTTTTTTTCTTCAATATGATTTCTGGACATTTGTATGGCCCTGATATTTTTTACTTCATACCCCCACCCCCAAAAATATCAAAATGAATTTTAATTCAGAAATTTAAAACAAGGTTGTCATAGAAGAGGTGTATTCAAGCTATTGTATGTATGAATTTTTTCATATATTTTTAATTTTTCTTTTTAATTAAAGTGCCCCTATTATGGATTTTTGAAAATGACTTTTCATGCAGTGCATAACACAGCTCTAAGTGAATGAAAACATCCTGCAAAGTTTTAAATCTGAAAGTGCACCGTGTATAAAGTAATTGTCTCTCAAAAGAAAGAGTCGATTCTGAATCATTAAACTAGTCATTTTTAAAACAAATCCCAAGCCGTTTCATGTTGACGTCAACATGAAACATTAGCATATTGCCCGCCCACTTGTTGGTCTTTTCCCGTTGGTCTGAATGAAAATGCTAATTCATTTTTTGCCACTAGGTGCCGCTTTTGGAGCGGTAAAATAGCGGTTTCCCCGGTAAGGGCTGTACACAAAGCAGCACTGCCTATCACAAACGCTGCTTTATCAGGCATTACAGGCGTGATGAAATGAAAATGAGACCAATCGGACCAATCACAGCAGATTAGCGTCACGCAAAGGACGGGTTTGCATATTATAAGACAATGAAAGTGTTTTTTGACCTTGCATGCATGTCAACCTGTTGTTGGGGACTCCCAAAACCAAAATATGAACCTTTCATTACCCATAATAGGGGCACTTTAATAGATCATTGACCTATCTATCATCCAACATCATTTACACAGACACTAAACACTAAAATAACAGGTTTTAATAGATTACAGCAAAAATTTAAAGTTATTATCATTTGCTAATTGTGCTACTTCCTCTATCATCTGACCCCATTATCACACATTTAAAACTGTATTTAATATTTTGCGATGTTCTTCCTGTTTTCTCTTTTCTGTTACTGTTGGTAAGTTAGAGTGACATTTCCTGTTTTACAACACACCAACCTTGTTTTAAAAGGACAGAATGAGGATGAATGAGTAATTTGCTCATAGACAGTCTAAAACCATGGAAACGCATATATATATATATATATATTGGTAAGCAATGCAGGTGTTTTGTAGTTGGATGTAAAAGTGAGCATAAGAGTCTTTATTGTCTCCCAACATCTGATCCACTGAGGACATAGTGGATTAGTTTTGTTTTTAATGGTAACACGAGGGGCGGGGTGACCAGAGCTCATTATCATTTAAAGAAACATGCATTATATTAAAATATTTTTTTTCTTCAATATGATTTCTGGACATTTGTATGGCCCTGATATTTTTTACTTCATACCCCCACCCCCAAAAATATCAAAATGAATTTTAATTCAGAAATTTAAAACAAGGTTGTCATAGAAGAGGTGTATTCAAGCTATTGTATGTATGAATTTTTTCATATATTTTTAATTTTTCTTTTTAATTAAAGTGCCCCTATTATGGATTTTTGAAAATGACTTTTCATGCAGTGCATAACACAGCTCTAAGTGAATGAAAACATCCTGCAAAGTTTTAAATCTGAAAGTGCACCGTGTATAAAGTAATTGTCTCTCAAAAGAAAGAGTCGATTCTGAATCATTAAACTAGTCATTTTTAAAACAAATCCCAAGCCGTTTCATGTTGACGTCAACATGAAACATTAGCATATTGCCCGCCCACTTGTTGGTCTTTTCCCGTTGGTCTAAATGAAAATGCTAATTCATTTTTTGCCACTAGGTGCCGCTTTTGGAGCGGTAAAATAGCGGTTTCCCCGGTAAGGGCTGTACACAAAGCAGCACTGCCTCTCACAAACGCTGCTTTATCAGGCATTACAGGCGTGATGAAATGAAAATGAGACCAATCGGACCAATCACAGCAGATTAGCGTCACGCAAAGGACGGGTTTGCATATTATAAGACAATGAAAGTGTTTTTTGACCTTGCATGCATTCGTTTTTAAAATGAATCCCAAGCCGTTTCATGTTGACGTCAACATGAAACATTAGCATATTGCCCGCCCACTTGTTGATCTTTTCGCATTGGTGTGAATGAAAATGCTAATTCATTTTTTGCCACTAGGTGCCGCTTTTGGAGCGGTAAAATAGCGATTTCCCCGGTAAGGGCTGTACACAAAGCAGCACTGCCTATCACAAACGCTGCTTTATCAGGCATTACAGGCGTGATGAAATGAAAATGAGACCAATCGGACCAATCACAGCAGATTAGCGTCACGCAAAGGACGGGTTTGCATATTATAAGACAATGAAAGTGTTTTTTGACCTTGCATGCATGTCAACCTGTTGTTGGGGACTCCCAAAACCAAAATATGAACCTTTCAT